AAAAAAAAAAAAAAAAAAAAAAAAAAAATCTACATGCACCTGCTGTAGAAACATTTTCTAAAATGGGCCTAAATATGAATTTTGTTCCATATATCAGAATAAATTAATCTCTATTGGTATGTGCTTTATGAATACGCCATGTGATCATCCATAGTATCTTGGGATTTCAGTTAAAATGTGTTGTCTCTGCCTGCAAATCAGATGCATAATTCCACAAGGATTACTAGCTCTCTGGAATTTAGCTTCCCATATTTAGAGGTATTGCAGAATATGTTGCACTGAACAGATTTTTCATATTTGATGACAAAGAAGAGATTGTTGTGTAGAATGAGATGGGTTATAGATCGGAAGTTACTCTTTCATCAAAAGAAAATATATTTGGAAAGAAGAATAGCATCAAAGAAGAAATGGGAATACCCCCCCCCCCCCCAAAGTTTTATAAACCAAAATCTGGTTCATGGCTACTTGTATTTGAATGACCCAAACCCACCTATCTGTTTCTCATTCCCTAACGTATAGTTGGATTATATAGAGAAAACCAGAGGGGTTCAATTAAAAAGCATCAAAATAAATATTAAAAACAAAAAAATTAGTCTCTTCAGTGAATATAAAGTAATACACAAGATAGGTGCTAATATAAATTGGCCTTATTCAGTTGATCTAACTTAAGTTGCTTTGATTTATACTATCTGTGAGTTTGGCCTGATAAGTATTTAATCTGTATATCTACTGTAAACATTATATTAGACTTCAAGAAATTTACAAGTGTAAGTCTTGTAAATGATTTGGATCAATTTAACAGCTAACTGCTATATAGCAAATTAATTTTAACCTGTTTGATACTAGGTTTTTGCTGCGGTGAGATCCTTTGTCTAATAGTAATAACTTTTATTATTTTGCATAATAAATGGATACTTATTGAAATTTTCTCTAACATTAATCTTAGAGAAATGATCAGTTCAATGTTGTAATTACCTCCCATTGACTAGAGATACCAGAAGGTAACCGGAAACTACTGCTTTATGCTATTATATTGTCCGGTCCTATTCCCACTGAAGTAATGGAAGCAGTGTCCAGTCATTTACTCCATCTGCTAAATTGGTTCAGATTTTGAAATACCAGTTTTCTCTTTGATTACTACCATAAGGCCCCAATTCATGAAATAATCCCTATTCAAGAGGTCACTTAAGCACCTAAAAGTTAATCATGTGTTTGAATGCTGTTCTAAACAGGGCAATATTTCTTGAATTAGAGTCAAGTACATCTATGAAAAGGTATGCAAAAGATTGAGGTTTTTTATTTCTTGTGTTATACTAGTATTGTACTGAAAACAGTTCAATTTTTTGTGCGCACAGACAATTTAAGATTCTTCCATACACTTGTAGGGTGTCTCATGCAGGCTATTTGTAAAGACTGAATTGTTCCTTCTACTACCTTACATGATAGATTAATAAATGAAAACCATAATGAAAAGGTGTTAAGAAATTTCTCTTCTAGAATTATGTATACACACTAGTAGAATTCTCTTTTTGCCCTCAAGGTATAACATTTTCTAAAAAAAGAAGCCTCTTAATTGACTAATTTGTTTGTTATTTATACATCTGATACAATAGCTGTAGGAAAACTCACATTGCAGTTGCTTATTAGGGTGCCTTTATATGTGTTTTAACATTTTAATACTAATTTTGTTTTGTTTTACAATAGGTTCTGATCATAAATCTGTGGCTGGACCAATTAAATCATCACCTGAAATCAGTTTGAGATGGGAAACTGGTCCTAGTGCTGGAATACACTCTCTGCTGGCTGTAAAAAATGGTTTTCTGCAGTGTCACGTAGAGAATTTTAGTGCTGACTTCCTAATATCTTCCCTCACAAACATTCAGCATTTTCTAGAAGATGAAACTGTTGCAGCCGTAATGCCTATGAAAATAAGAGTTTCTAATACAACAATTAATTTAAAAGTGTGTTAGCTAAGTAGTTATTTTTCTTCTTTCCACTGTTTAGACTATGCTTTTGTTTCTTTGTTATCTGTATATAGTTTACTTCAAAGAAACTCCCATCTTGTTTTTTAAAGCCTTTAGATTACACTAAAACAGTTTAAAAATCATAAATTGGGTTGGCTCAGTGTATACATAAAGTGCATGACCATGATTGTTTGTAGGAATTAATTTTTTTTTATATTTTGTCTTTTTTATTTACCCTTTCCCCATTGTGAGACTGGCAGAACTAGGATGGTACTAGAAAAAAGGTCCTGTAGGCTCCCAAAGGTAGAATAAGTCTCTTATTGTTCACCAGTAACACATGCTTTCTAACTTCAAACAGTATTCACAGAGACTTATATGATGAACCCATGAACCTTTTTTTGAGTTTTGGTCATGAGAGCTTAATACTCCTCAAGGAAAGAGGTTATGAGGACTCAGCTTGCCTATTACTAACTAGAGCCACGATTTCATTTTCTGTCCTACCTGGAAACAGTTATTGTACAATACAAGCTTCTCCCTAGTGTGTCTTAAAATAGCATCATTAAGAGGACACTGCTGTGCAGTCTCCTAGGCTTTTTTTTGTTCCCCTTAGTTAAAGAGACAATGATTTCTCTCATATGCAAGCAGTAATATGGCAAGGACAAGGTGAGTAAGGATAATAAAATCACTACTGCCAAATCCAAAAACAAGAAGGCTCAGATTTATGTTCCCTAGCACGGATCCTGAAACAGAATTCTCAACCTTTGCATTGGAGGCTGAAGTCTCAGTTATGATGAGGTGGTGAATAAATATAAACTGCTACTCTAAATTGCACCAGAGAATTGTCTTTGCCCAAGGCAGAGAGCTGTGCCGTCCCTTGTTCTTCTAGCATGCAAGCTCTGCAGCCTTCATGACATTGTCATTATCTAGGCAACTTTTTAAGCACTCTTTCCACTATCAGAACGGGACAGAGGACATTTTATAAAGGTTGCAGATGAAAAGCAAACTGAGCAGCCAAATACAGAAATGAAAGCTTTAGCATATGTTTATCCAGCTTTGAAAACTCTACCTTTGAAACTCAGCTTTGAAAACTCTACCTTTCTCCTTTCCTGGCAGGAAGACAGGTTCAGGCAAAGCATTTTGTGGCAAAATGTCTTATTTGTTGGTGATGAATGTATATTATTGAGCTGAAAATAAGAGAGTGTTGGTAGTGGAAGCAGTGAGTTCATTCTGTATGCATCACTTACAAGTTACCATGAAACCAGTTGTATTGTTCAGAATACATTGCATTCAGTCTGAATCTAGTGCTCATTTACTATAGAGGTGATTCATTCCAGGGCTGCCGGGTAATGGAAGGCAAATCTTCTCCTTCATGTTACACTACCCATTCAGAGCAGTAATTTTCTTTGCACTGGGATTGGTCTAGTGTGTTTCATGCAGGAGTTGAGTGTTATTTTTCTTGCTTGGATAATTTTTCCCTGACTCAGTCTCCTTGCTCTTTGAAGGTGCTGTGGCAGCTGTGCTCCACATTTTGTTTTCATTTGTCTTACATTGCTGACGTGTCATCCTTCTGATGACATTTAGGGGTAGATCCAGGGGGGTGTGGCAGCACGGTCACATCCCCTCTTTGGCTGCACATTGCATGTGCAGTTAGCTTAGAGCTCGCTGGCATGTCAGCACAGCTGCTGTCAGGACTGCTGCATGTGCTATGAGCACTGAGCTCACTAGCTGATTGGCACAAGGCCTGGGCCAGAACCTCTGCTTTTATACATGTCTGAAGCCTAGGGGATGAGCACCATTGCTGTTAGCTTTTCCTTTCCTCCTCCTTCCCTGCATCCTCCCCTCAGTAAATTCAGCAGCAAGAGAAATGAGGGGATGAGCAGCAGCACCACTTAGCCTCCTGGTCTCTGGAGCTGTGTGAAAGCAGGGACTGAATGTGGCTGCCAGGAAGAGGGGAGTGCAAACCGCAAGAATACTCAGCCCCTGGTCTCCAGAGTCATGGCACATGCAGAACTCTGGCAGGAGCTATACTGATGGGCTGGTGAGCTGACTGGCATCCAGGATTGTGGCATGTGGGATGTGGACCACACTCTTTGGCTCATGCATAGTGAAAGTCTCTTTACTGCACATGCGTCATTCTCCCAAAGGAGGTGTACCCACACACCCCTTCCCATGATTGTAGAACTGCCCATGATGACATTAAACATATTCCTATGCTTGACAGGGGCAGTAGTCAGTCAGACCCTGGGACACCAAAAGCAGCATGTGAAACGACTCTCTCTTTTTTGGTGACTGCTATAAAAATTATCATTACTGTATCAGTTCTAAACCAAAGAAAAACCTGTAACACTGCCACCATCTTTAAACAGCTCAAGAGAAAAATCAGTTCAACAATGTCATATACTATTTTATCTCTATTTCTTTTGAAGAGTTCCTGGGCTACAAAAGTCTGTCATATGTTAGTCAAATTATATATACTGACTTCAGTGGGTCAGATGAATTTGGCACTTTGTTTTTCTGAAGGTCTTGCTAATTTAAGAGTGCTGAAGATGAATAGATAGCTGATCAGAAAATTCTACTCTTCGCTCTAAATGTTTCACAAATTTATTAAACCTATTTAAAAGTTTAATTGAAGATTTTAATTAACTATGTTGATTTTCGCATGGATAGAGCAACAATGTAACAAATCCTATTTTTATTACTTTTATTCCATAGGATGACAGCCCACGTGATAATCTCACCGCTCCTGAACCAGTCCCTATAACATTACATATTGACCTACTGCTAGAGAGGAATGATGATGGCTCTTTTTGCATTAGAGGTGTGTACTGATGTGTTCTCTCAAAACCTATCTTAAGAGGCAAAAAGCATGTGATCTTTTCTTTGGGGGGGGTGAAAATTTGTATGCATTATTATGTTTTTGATTTGGTGTAAGAACTTTTTGACATGTAGCTAATAATAAAAGGATATAGTACCAGCAGAATTGGTAGTCACGTTGTCTGTACATCACACATTGTAAAACTGAAACTTAAGTACTGTCCTAATAATGAAAGATAACCTCCAATAGAAGTGTTTTGACTGTAGCCATATCCTACAAGTTAAATCGGTCTAGGAGTAGGGGTTCATCTCTCTTTATAATACAAATATTGAATTCCCCTATTCTTATAGACTTGACTTAAAAGGAACAGGTGTTCACATTCTCTAAATGTGAAGCAGTGGTATGTTGTCTCAGCTATTTCTTATTTATTAAGGGTAAATAAAATAACAGCTAGGTGTTTATTACTAATTATTTATAATGCAGTAAAACTTACAGACTCCATACACACTGCATAAGCAGGGGTTTATTTAGATTATAGCTACAATAATTCTCACTAGTACAAGTATCTGCTTCTTTTGTGCATTATGGATGTGCCATGGCAGCTTTATATATAAAGTTTGCATTGAGATTTGCATTCTGAACAATAATTTTGCAAGAATATAGGTGTACACAGATATACACGTACAGAAATACATATTTAGATAGGGCTTCACCAGTACTACCACAGATACTTAATACATTTATCTGTGTCTGCTGAAAACAGTTTCCATGTAGTTTTATCATTCCATATTGTTCAATGTATTAGAATTATGCTTCTTGGTCATCTTATTTTGCTTCAGAATGCAAAGAGATTTTTTATGTGTAATTCTACAGTTCTTTGACTTCTTCCAATAATCAGTATCCTTCTCTCCATTGAGTAAATTGTTCAGTTTTTTGCTTTTCCCCATTAGTTCAACTCTTTACATGCAGTAAAATTCTAAGATTGAAGTAATATTTTCTGCAATGGAAAAAATGTGAATCTTTATATTTAGTCATGAACTTCTGAAGCAGATTCTTGTTTAGAAAGAAGTTTTAATACCCATATGAAGATTATTTTGACTACTACAAACTGCACCCTTTATTTTACCTTAAGTACATGCACGTTAAATGCATTAATGTTTCATTAATATTACTTAAACTAGAAAGTTTCTTTAATGCTAAACTTGAAAATATTTAAAATTGCATTGATTTAGGGACTTGATTCACAAATTTCTCACACATTGTCTTCACATGGAATTGCAGGCTCCAGTTCTGAGAAACAAATATTAGGTAATAATAACCAAACTGTCATTGATTTCAGTGCAAATTACAGCCATGTGATGATCAGGACCTAAACTAATTATTCAGATAAGCTTTTTGAATAAATAGCCATTTAAAATATATTTTCTGCACTGATGATGTTTTTTCTTTGTTTCATAATTTACTACTAGTTTCTCTAAGCTGCAGGATAGTGACAACTTTTTCTCACTAAAATCATGACCTTCCATTTTAATGTTGTACTGACGAGAAGCTTTTGGTGTACTAAAATCTAAAGATAAAATTGTATTTTATAGTAGTTTTATTCAGTACTAATGTGAGTAAATAAAAGCTAAACATTTCAAATGATCTTCTGTGTCTTTATGAAATAGATAATCAAACAATAAATGATGCATCAGTGTATAAGGAGTCGAGCAAGACGATGCAGCCAGTTGGTAGAGTTTCCAAACACAAAACAAAGGATCAAGCCACACAGGCATCTCCAGAAATTCCCGTACTTTCCAAATCAAGTAGGATTTCAACTGACCTCCACAAACAAGAGGTATTAACAACATTACATTATTTTTTAAAATTATTAATTGTTTTATAATCATAAGACATTGTAGTTGTTAATTACTAGATTGCTATGTACCTTGGCAGGATTTCACAAAAAATAATGGGGAATATGGTCAAATGCTGTTTTCTTTAAAACTTATTGCCTAACTGAAGATAACGTACTGTAAACTACCTGGTGGGATTATTCCAGTGAATTTTAGCTAGTGCCAGTGGTCCCAGTACACCTTAAATATGAGGATGGGTGAGAAAGCCTAAGCCTTCTGCAGCCTGAAACCTGTCAAGGAACCCCAAGTAGATACCAGGGTCTTATGCAGCACATCTCCACACCATATGTAAGAGAGTTATAAGGTGAGGAAGACTTGATTACAGTAGTATCCTCACCGCATGCCCAGGCCTAAGGACCAAGTAGGTCAGTCAGTCCCTTTTTAATGTACAAAATACACTGAAATCTTAAATACCCCCAGAAACTTCTCCCATATCCTGAATGGAGGGGTAAGACCCACGAAACAATTTATCGGTTCTCCTGTATAGGACGAATCCCTTGCTGGATTTTAAAACTGGAGCTCAGCTGAGCCCATCATCCAGCTACTAGATTAAGATTAGGAAGGGGGAAAGTAAAACAGGGAGCCCAACCTAAAGAGAAGCCTGGTCTTCAAGCTATGTCCCCCTCACTCACCACCTGTCACAAGCTCCAGAAATGTCTCCAGTACTCCTGGTGCCATTAAAGTTGCACCCAAGCCAGCAGGCTGAGCATCCATGACCAACACCTGTAACTCTTACTCTGAGATGAGAAAGTTGGCAACATATAGAGAAACCAATATCTACCTTTTTTAGATTAATATGTTTCTTTTTTCAACTTAATCATTGCAGCTTATTGAAGAAAACGAGTATCTTAAACAAGAACTATCCAAAGCTAAAATGGCTTTAGCTGAACTGCATATGGAAAAAGATAACCTGCTTCATCGAATAAAGAGGATGACTCTTGAACATTAACAGTAATGGATAATAATACTTGATTGTTGTAGGAAGGGTTGCACTTAATACTGTTTGTGAATTAGTAGAGGACTGTTTCTTGTCACAAGCATAGAACATGTTTGGAATAATTACTATTCTGAAAACTTGCAAAAGACTTAGAATAAGACATTACGATTGTTTTCTTCTCTAGCCCTCCTGAAACTGCAGTGAAACAGGAAAATCAGTTTATATTGTATTTTACTAATTTACCTAACAATAAGGACATGATACTTTAATTTGAATAATATCAAAGGAAATGTTTGTAGAACACTTCTGAAAATGCACTTGTTCCAATAGCAAAGGAAGGTGCCTTTGTGACTGACTAAGTAAAATATACCATGCATCATTGATACTGTGTTGTTATTGGTTAAGATTTAAATGCATCAAAAAGTATCTTTTAAAAGAGATTACATTTGCACTATCATTTGTGGCTAGATCCTCTGGTGCAATGTAGCTATGGTATTATAACCAGCCCTAAGTGGAAGGCCAAGGTCTCACACTTTTTAAAGAGTAATCTGGCAGTGGAAATTGGTTCATATATTGTTCCTTTCCACTGCTGGTGTATCAAAGTAAAAGAACAGGATCTCATGAAAAGGGATGTAGATTTGGATGTCCCTGCATATACCTTTACTCTGCTACAGTGCGGCTTTTGTGGCCAGTGTAATTTAAAGTATCCCTTAGACTGTTGTACCATGTGCAGAGGACTGGCCCTGTATAAAGGAAGCAACAGAACTGGGGGTGAGGGAGGAGGAGCAGGGGGAGGCGTATGCAAAGGTGAGTTGCTGTTGACCTGCATGGCTTATCAGTCACACCCAAGGATCTGGCCCAATGTATTTAACTCTAATTGTTCAATTATTGTAACATAAAAAGGGGAAAAACAAAACACTAAGATTCATAAATTGTATATTAATGTTTGGAGGAATAAAACTTTAGAGAATCATTAATTACCCTGCTAAACTTATGAGATTTAAATGAAAATGTAACTATACAGTTTAAACTATGGGTGATTTGTACAAATTGAAGTATAATTTTCAGTTAAAAGAATTGGTACAAATGTATAAATAAAAGAGCACAAAATTGTAATACATGGAATTTAAGACTGTGCTTCTAAACATTATGACACTTTGCTTTTGTGATTCTGAATCTGGCAACTGAAAGCATTTTGATTGATGCTACATTTGTTATTTTTTAATCATGAGATATGTGAGATAAACTTTGTTTTAAGATTTCCAAAAAAATCACAGGCTTCAATGTTCTGTGATTTGTTTTTTTTGAGTACTTAGGCTATTATTGAAATGATTTTAAACTCAATGCTTGTTTTTTTTTTTAAATAAGGTTTACCTATAACATTTAGAATTTACATTGATGGAAATTGTTTGTTAAAATATCTATATTTTTTATACCAGTTTTTATGAGAGCAGTGGATTGTACTATTCAAGAGCCCTTGTCCTGAAACCCTTATTCTGACGTCCCCAATCACGCCAGGGGAAATTTTACCAGACTACAGAATAAAAAAACTAATCCCAGACCGGCTCTAATAGCAAAGCTAAATATCTGGAAACAGGCTTTTAGAACAGTGAAACATGACTGTAATGGGTCTGATTTAAAATACATTTATTGTCAGACTCAGCAGGCCAACTTAGCTAGAGTATATTTGCCTAGTTCCACTGAAGGCAGTGGAGCTAATCCAGTTTACACTAGCTAAGGATTTGGCCCAAAATATTTTGGGTAAAGAAATGTAGAGTGCTTGCTTTCATGTTCTTAAGTTTGTGTGTCAAGAAACCAGCAATACCAAACTCAGATTCTTGTTGACACAAGGTATTTTTTGCTGTGTTTTAGAAATCTACTGATGGTAATATATTGTATATGTTGGCTCTTCTAATCTTTCACAGCACACCACTGAATGCTCTTCCAACTCAGAGCAGGGTCACAATACTAGACAGTATTTGGGAACAGTTCAAAAGATTTGGGTACATATTTTGTCCTCAGATTTAACATTACTGAGAAGGGTAATATCCTGTCATGTTAAATCCATGTTTTCTTTTAAAATCATTTAAAAAGGAAAGCTAATTTATTAATATTTGAAATGACAAAAGATTAAAATGAAGTCTTAATATGTTAAACTGAAAGTAGTAGTTGATGGCCTCAGATTAAATACAAGGCTGTAATTTGTGTTCAGGGCTCTGCTGTCATTCATAAAACACTCAAGTCCTAGTTTTAAAATTTGTATTATCAGCAGAGCCTCTTGAGTGAATCATGGTTTTTTGTTCAAAGAAGGGACATCTATTATCCTAAGTTGAGGAGAGAGAATGGGGAGAGAGCTTAAATTTTCGCTGAAAATTTACTCAAAGTCTTGGGGTGGAAGAGTTGCAGCAGCTGTATTTGCTAGTTTCTATGTGGATTTCAATTAGGCTTCTGATTAATTTGATATTAATCCAGCTGTTATATAGACAAACTAATGATTACAGCTTTACTCACCTTTAGATCCCAGGTTAGCTCACAGAATCACCCCTGTACCTCCTATGTTTATAGTGTTCACATCAATCACTGAGCGATGCTATTAGTAAGCAACAACTGAAAAGTCTTGAAGAATTCCTTGCAAAGCGGCAAATGCATAACGGAGCTCTGTGAACACATCCACTGCTGTCCCAGTAACTCCTGCCTTTCTTTATTCTCCTCAACATAAAGCCAGCCTACCAAAGTCTTTTTGCAGCTCTAACTTGCCCTACCATGCAGCTGCTAGGGTTTCCTCCTCCTCCCTTTCCTATCCTACCTAACAGCCTAATTAGAACGCTCCAGCGTTGCTGCAGTATCACATGTATGAAGCTCCTGTGTATTTTAAATTGGCCACAGGGTGCTTATCTAAACTTCATTCCACTAGGTTTAGATAAAGTGTACTGCAGACACTTTTAAATGCGTGGGGGTTTAATACACATGGCACTGCAACATTCAAGTTAGAGCAGCTCTCTGGGAACTGCTCTAATTAAAATGCCCACCTCCCACCTCAAGCACTTGTATAGGGAGCCAAAATGCAAAGCTAAAAGGAGCTACAGTATCCTGACAGTTGGTATGGATTCTCACCTCAAATGGGAGAAGCTTTCTACGTTCCAGAAATGCGTAAATCGTATAGATGTAGGTCTGGCATCAGTTAGTCAAAAAGGTATTTCACAGGTAAAAACTAAGACACCTAAAAATGAGCCTAATAAGTTTAATTTAGAAGAACAACTGGGTAGCAATATAATTGGATCCCTGTTTTGTTTGTCCTCTTACCATAGCCCCTTCCTTTTCCCTGTTGCTGTCAATCATATTTTATAAACATAAGGGACCACTAAGCTTATATGTATATATTTAGTCATATGACTGATATGAAATATTATGTAAGTCGAGAAAACTTTAGGCTATCATTTTGAAAACAAAAATGCAAAGTTATATAATTAGATAAACAATTTGAAAATGTTTGTAGTCTCTGAACAGAGATTATCAAGTTACTAAATCTCTGTTAATGAGATTGGGAGGGCAGCCAGAACTGCTTTTTGGCCCAAGAAATGGTCTTGGCTGGAAAGAACAGATTGATTCAGATGGTTATGTGGGACAAAATAGTTTTTGAATAACTGGGGCTGGGTATAGTCAGCCAATCTGTCAGCATCTTATAAATTGACAGCGAGTCAGTCATACACAATTAGACACTACGGAAGTGAATGATTCTTGAGGCAAAGAACAGCAATCTTTAACTTAACCTATGGAATAAATTTGCATGCCTTCTGCCTGATTTCAGACTAACATTGCTAACTATTTTTCTCTTGTCATTATGTTGTCGTAGCTTAATTCATCATCATCATCATGCAGTGGGCCCATTAACTGTGGTGAAGCAATATCTTCATTACAATAAGAAGACATTGTACCAGTCATGAATGGTGATTGGGAGCATAACAGTGCCCTGTAGAAACAAGAATTATGCAAAAATGTAGCACCTAGATTACCTATGGTTCCAGATAAATTAACTTCAAACCATTCTTTCCATATACCAGGGGTTGACAGCCTGTAGGCAAGAACTGGGCTGCAGACCAATGTGATCTGGCTCGTGGAAGTGGTGTTTCAGCAGTGGGAGACTTCAGCAACAGTTGCTTTACTGTGCTGCTGCAGGGAAAAGTGGCAGCAGTGGCTCAGTCCTAGCACTTTGCCTATCCACCAGCCTCTGACCCAAACTAGGTCACTGGTCCACAGCCTACAAATATTACGAACCACTGCCATTGTTAAAGACCTTAACTTTTGTTGTTCTCCCTTAGATTGCCACTAGATGGTAGTGCAAGAAATCTCTTTATATTCTGCTTCATTTCCTTATGGTTACCAGTATACCATCTCTGCTTGATTCCTTGTCATGTCCTGAGCAATTTCATTAAATCTTTCAAAATTTCAGCATGCACAACATTTTGAGTTTTTATAATATTTTCATAATGACTAGTTTAAACTAAAATAAGGGAGTTTTCATTTTTAACATTCATTTATTTTTTGTGCACTATTCTTCCTTTTGTAATATCAGATAGTTCATAAGGTTTCTAAGAGAGGCTTCAGCTCTTTCCTCTTTATTTAATAAATATATATATATATATTTTGAGATTTTTAAACTAATATGCAAGAACATATACGTGTGTGTGTGTGTGTGTGTGTTTTTGTATATTACATCCCTATTTGCAGTGAAATACCACATTTGCAGCATTTTACCAAGGATAACAGCAGCATTTCTGTAGTTGAAATAGAAACCCTTTAAAACTTGTTCTACTTCTGTTTCCATTCTGTTGATACTAACTCTGTACATCTTTATTTTCTTCAGCTAGTTTGGAAATCACTTTCATTCTGCCAGAGACTAACGTAATTTTGTACTACTTGGAGATGCCTACCAAATGCGTTGACTTATAAATGACTATTAACCACCACTAGATGGCAATATAAAAAGTAATTTTATATTAACACTGCAATGGATAGAAAGTTATGGTGGGGTTATTTATTTTTATTATGTTTTTGGTGCCTCAAGATCTTTCAGGCAGAATAACGAAACAGAAATAAAACCAGACTACAGAAATCATGGCAGAAGTGATCATAAAGGCTACTGAAAGAATGTGGCCATTAGACCTGTGCAAATTGGCAAGTATTCGCTTCGGATTTGGTCAATTCAGAGGGATGGTGATTTGATTTGGAGATTGGAATCACTGTCAATTCAGTTCGACCAAATTGGATCCGAAGATTTGGCACTGTTTTGGAGATTTGGCCGTAAACTAAACAGGCAGCAGTCCTCGCCATGCTGGACACAGCTGCCTCCAGCTGGTAAGTCTGTTGTGGTGGGTGGAGTGGAAAGGGAAGGGGCATGGGGGAGGGAGGGATTGGGGCTGGGACAAGCTGCCCAGCTGGGGCGGGGGAGTGTGGGACTTGAGGGGGCAGACAGACGCTAGATGCGGGTGCCCTCATCTGGCGCCCCCTCTCTCTGCTCCCTGAGTTCTGTGCCAACCTGGACTTAGTGGGGATCACTAAAACATGGTGGGACCCAACACATGACTGGGTGGTGAATATCAACGGCTATAGGCTGTACAGGAGGGATAGGACAGGAAGGAAAGG